AACACTAAATTCATGGTGTGGGCTAAAAAAAGCTGCCACCACATAGGGCAAAGTATCTGTTAATATGATTATGTTGCATAAAAGGAAGACAAAATTACTGCTTGAAATATCGTATCTATTCTAATTGAGGAAGAGGTATCAGATAGCAGTCATGGAGAACTTTCAAATAATAAAAGACAATATAAATTCTTGTACAGTGAACCTCGACTGTTACTTGATTCCTACTTCCAATTATATTAAGTGTCCTAGCATTGTTTTATTGGGTTTGTTTAAATCATTAGTGATGCACTGGAGGAGAAGGATACTGTTGTTGGTATTGTGGTAGTAACAGAATACCATTAAAAGTGGATGTCTGTTACAAGTATATTTGAAATGATTGATCAAAATATAATTACTGCTTCAGGAGAGACTCTTTGCATAGGAGTTATGTGTTGTAATTGAGGAGAGAGTTTGGAAAGATGACAATGCTCCTGAGAGGATAATTGCAGTTGTACACTTTTACGTATTTATGTGGGTGAGTTTCTAAAGACAATAACATATCCTTTAATTTCAGTTAGAGATTTCCATAAAGCTGTTTTCTGTAGTATATTTTGTCTAATCTTCAATAGATTATCAAGGCCCTAGTAATATTTCTTAAGGAAAATGCAGTGTAAATGAGCAATGTGATTATCAGAATTGATTTTAAAGACAAGTAAACTACCTCAAAATTCTTAATAAAGCAGGTCACAATCCATGTTAGTCCAATCCAATCCATCCAATCTGAAGTCTGAGGCAGTAACTCTTCTGAAATGATAGCAATAGCTCATTCCTGAGATGGAGAGCATCCTCAGTGAGAAATGATCTCCTATTTCTTACTTTGGACTCCTTTAAATTTTTCAAGACAAGTGTCTCTTACTCTGGTAGCTGTAATTCTTTACTTCTACAAGAATATGTAACATGCAGTGTACACATGCAGTATGAGCATAAAGTCAGGCTTCAGTATTGACAGCATATTTTGCATAGATTTGAAGAGCACTGTCACTGGGAGAATATCCCAGTGGCTTACCACTGTGCACTAAGCAGACTGGATCAGGTGGACTTAGCTTTAGTACAGGCAGAAGCTTACACAGGGACTGCAGTGGCACTGCTCTGCGCCCTCATGGTGTTAATCAGGTGTGGTTTATGAACACAAAAGCAAATTCCCTCTCTTTCACCAAGACATTTTTGCTTACTGAATTATCAATGTGAAATTGAATCTGACCAGGAAAATGAAAGAGGAATCAAATCTCTCTCTTAGTTATAAATGACAAAGCCTTTCTAAATGTTGACTTTTTCACTACAGGTATGCTAATCATGGATGTGAATAGAAATCAGAACAGTGGAAAGAGGAAGGAAAATAGTAATAACAATGTATGATCAAACTATATAGAGTGAATATGTATTTATCATTATATGTATTGGAACATCTCCAATACTTTTTCACTTACAGGACTTTCTAAATAACATAGCTTTTCTTCTTTCCCATATCCCGTTTGTATGTAAAATCATAGTTTTGAATAAAAACTGAGTGCCTTGCATCATACTGTCACTGGAAATGCTTTTCAAAATGGGTATGCATTTTAAACTAAAGAAATTCTTGTGACATAAAGAGGTATACAAATAATGTATCCTGTAAAAATGTATAATGCATTTATAGGTCTGCTTCTAACCTCTAATGAAAGTTAATATACCTGTAATTGGATCACTATAGCAGAAATGTTATGAAAATCTGTTTAATCATAAATTGTTTCCCTGCGATAAATTAAGCTGATTTGCAAGGTTCCTGTCATAGAGATACAAGAATAGCTGTGTGCAAATATGGAAATTGTTTCTCTGAAACTTGACGATGAGACTTCATTGTGAGGTCAAGAGGGAGTGCCTGACAAATATTCTGAACATGAATTATGCAATAACTACCTTTTTATTGCAAAAGCAGGTGCTATTTATGAGCTACTTCTCAACATATCACATGCTATTCTACTACACGCTAGTGCAATTTTATATAGCCAGTATAATCAGCATGAGGAATATATGCTGTGTATCTCCAGAGGTGTGTCTGGGCATCTTACAACTAGCAACAACTAGCAACACTCAATTTTATATTTCAAGACAGCTTCAACCTCTTAGGGCGCTCAGGCCCAAACCCTCATTTAGATGCCTAGCTGTCAGTGATCTTTGGAGAATGGGGACCTTACATTTTAGCTGCAAAATTATTTTCTTGAGAATTTGAAGATTTATGGAACTCACTTACTTAATAATCTTGAGTTTATCCCAATCAGTGGACATTGTTTTTAAGAATTTGGACACTTCTTGTTTTGTGCTTGTTCCACCTGTTGTTAAGAATGGGCTGTTCTACAATTCAAATTTTTTAAAATTCATAGAAATCTGGTGGAAAGTATAATTGAAAGTTTTAGATTGTAATTAATGTTACCTATTAAGAACTATCCAGCATTTGTAAGAGCGCATTCTGAACAACAAACAGGGTAAAGTGGATGAAGTCATAGTGGGATGCCATATTAATAACGGAAGGGTAAACTACATTATGGGTATGTTGTAATTTGAAACAAATAGATTAAACCCAGGAAATCTTAGTATGGCCAGGGATGAAAGTATATCGCCACAAAAACTTAACAGATTCTGCATTTAACAGGTCCAGAGAAGCAGGAAAGGTCTGCAGTGTAAGAAAAGCAGCACGATGTCATCTAGATTTACCAACATGAGAGTGCGATCATTTTGTTCCTATTTTGTGTTAAGGCAGAGCAGAACCCATTCATATTTGGCTGAAGAAGAAATGAATTTCTGCGCTGGGAAACACAATGGCATATCAGGGCTGGGCATTTGGCATTCCCCCACTCCCCCAACCTTTGCAGTCCCAAACAGAAGTCCTGCATGATACTTCCTAACCGTGCTGTTAAAAATAAACTTAACCTCTCTAACAGCAAACGATTTCAGATGCAGCTTCTGCGTAGTAGTTCACGGAGCTTCGATTGTGTGGGTCTCTGAGAGACACGGTCCCCACAAGGAGCTGGAGCTCTTAGCTGCCTTCTTTCCACCTACCGATTTATATGGCTGGTGTTAGAAACTTTACGTAATTTGTTCCAAGTTGCTCTTTCATTTTACTGTGCCTTAACATAGCTGCTGGGCTGCCTGAGCGTGCAGTGCCTGGCTTGGATGTGCCCACGTCACGTCTTTTCTCTGGTGACCTTTCCCTGTTTTAGGGGTGCAGAGAGGATAAGGCGTAGCACACGGGTTTTAAGCAGCTTTGTTAACGCTTGTGAGATCAAGAAACTGACTGCAGGAAAACAGGAACAGAAACTCCCCCCTCATCCCCAGCGGCGGTCTCCAGGCCTGCTCCTCCACTCTTAACCCGCACCTCCCCCCCCCCCCAAAAAAACGCAGATCCCGGGCAGCCGGGGGGGGCCCGC